AGTTCCTCCACTTAAATACTTGATCACCTCTCATCACACTTATATTCACTGTCGGCGTCTGAGAATATACTTGATCATGATTTCAATTTTTAAAAGCTTCACTGTTTCAGACTTAGAGAAGAATTGTGATCAACATAAACTAAACCCCACACGCTACTCAGGGTAAATCTCTAAATTCTAAAATGTTTTATTTGCAATGCAAAAATCTCCCAATTTGGCGCGCCTCTATACAACCAAACCATGGGTTGTTTTTGGAATGCTGAGAAAACAGAGACAGCTCTGGAGCCGGTCTCTTATTTCGAGGAGAAACTGTTATGGCCCTACACTCATTCTGAAGAAAGTTATTACTGGCTCTGAGTAAAGTTCTGGGGAGTTGTTGCCAAGTTCTGACTGGGACCTTATAGTGTTGGGTAAACTAGTCTTTGGAGTCACAGCAGGTTGTTTTTAGTCGCCTTTACATTAAACACTGCTTTAGGTTAAATAGGCAGTCCTTCAGCACGCCAGGCTTGTGCAGAGAATTATACTTCTTGACCACCAACGTTTAGCCAGTATCCCTCTGCAGTGTTTTTTATTCTCTTGGCCTGCTCAACTCTGTGTATTTGTTGGATACCAAGAATGAGCCCCATTTGCAGGACTGGGCAACTGTTCTCAAGATGTAAAATCACATGTAATTGTTAATAAGTCAAGAGAAGGGATGTAGGAATGTGAGTCAGTTGTCATTCCATATCTCCTCCTCGAAAACTGGTAACTGCAACCCCCCCCACCCCGGCCGGCGCCCCCCCCCGCCCCGCCCCGAGTCGGCTCCCACGGCCACTGAATAACTCATCCGCCTCTCTGGGAGGCGCCTCCCGCCCCGCACCTCAGCACCGCCCCCGCGGCCGCGGATGCTCAAGGTCAGGATTGTAGCAAAGAGCTGAGCCCGCCATCTCTACCATAATAGAAAAGAAATTAATTGCCAACTAATAATATATACAAAAAATTAGCCGGCATGTGGCGGAATGCTGTAGTCCAGCTACTTGGGAGGCTGAGGCAGGAGATTGCTTGAGCCCAGGAGTTTGAGGTTGCTGTGAGCTAGGCTGACGCCACGGCACTCACTTAGCCTGGAGCACAACAAAGGAAGACTCTTGTGCAAGGCTACTCGGGAGGCTGAGGCAGTAGGATTGCTTGAGCCCAGGAGTTTGAGGTTGCTGTGAGCTAGGCTGATGCCACGGCACTCACTCTAGCCTGGGCAACAAAGTGAGAGTCTGTCTAAAAAAAAAAAAAAGAAAAGAAAAGAAAATTTTTTAAATTGCATAATACTTTTCCTCTATACTATTCCATTCTTTAGGACCTGGATCCTTCCCAGGGATCATTGACATCTTTGGTCTCGGAGGGGGCCTGTTGGAATATCGAGCCAGCCTTCTGGCTGGCCATGGTTTTGCCACGTTGGCTCTAGCTTATTATGACTTTGAAGATCTCCCCAAGCAACTGGACAACATACATCTGGAGTACTTTGAAGAAGCCCTATGCTACATGCTTCAGCACCCCCAGGTTCTCCCATGTCCTTTATTCAGTCTCTCTAGAAACATCTCCACGGAGGGTGTCACCTGAACTAGGTGCAGTGATGCTGCTCTATTCTTTTGCAAAGGAGATTTCTTTTGGAGACTTCCTTGGTTGAAGGTGCCCATTGTTAATATTTCCACTTTCTCTGCCAGACGGATTCATGCTATAGTATTAATCATAAAATCCATGTGAGATTCAATTTTGTATTAATAAAATTCTTTTTGTAATGCATATTGAACTTGTTTTATTTTTTTTAATTATATATTCTCATATTTATTTTTTCTTTTCCTTTCGATTCCATGGTGCCACTAACAGCTGATGAACTTCTAATATTATCTTTGCATGCTTGTTTTTTTTTTTATTTTAGTAGACATTCCGCAGTTCCAAGCATGCTTGTTTTTTAACTTTTAATTTTCTGATATCAGATTATGTTCTCAGATTTTCATCAGAACTTGACCACTCTTTTCAGAAGCTAAGAACTACTTATTTGGGCTCCTCAGTCTTGTTTTGTAATCATTTGCCAATATATGTGGATGAGCTCTGATGAATGATTCATATCTTGGAACAGAACTTGGTCCCCACCATTGGATACACAGCCACAATAAGACTTGAATCAGGCTTACCTGAATGAGGGCCTGAACTTGACAGGCTCCATGAGGCTCAGCCTTCTCTAGTGGTGATCCTGTGGAACATATCAAATATGCCAATGAGTTTAAGATTTGTTTACCATGTGTTCAGCCATATATTTAATAAGAAGAAACTCCACTGTCAGATGAGGTTGATTTTCTTATGGATAATTCCCAGCTTAATGCTAGTAGCATCTCTAGTTGTATTTCAGAAATATATTTTTGTGTTGGATAAGTTCTTGACTCTTCTCTCTTCTTTTCCTCCAGGTCAAAGGCCCAGGCATCGGGCTTTTGGGCATTTCTCTAGGGGCTGATATTTGTCTCTCGATGGCCTCATTCTTGAAGAATGTCTCAGCCACAGTTTCCATCAATGGATCTGCGTTCAGTGGAAACAGAGGCATACATTATAAGCAGACTCGTATCCCACCCTTGGGCCATGACCTGAGGAGAACCAAGGTAGCTTTCTCAGGCCTGCTGGACATTGTGGATATACGGAATGATACGGTCGGAGGGTGTGAGAACCCCAGCATGATTCCAATAGAGAAGGCCCAGGGGCCCATCCTCTTCATTGTTGGTCAGGATGACCACAACTGGAGGAGTGAGTTATATGCTCAAGTAGCCTCTGAACGGTTACAGACCCATGGAAAGGAAAAACCCCAGATCATCAGTTACCCTGGGACTGGGCATTACATTGAGCCTCCTTACTTCCCCCTGTGCCCAGCTTCTTTTCACATATTACTGAACAAACCTGTGATGTGGGGTGGGCAGCCCAGGCCTCATTCCAGGGCCCAAGTAGATGCTTGGAAGCAAATTCTGTCCTTCTTCTGCAAACACCTGGGAGGTACCCAGAAGAGAGCATTCCCCAAACTGTAATGTATTTGTCAGTTGTTGACATGAGAGATTCAAGATCATATTTTATTTAATAGTCTTCAGTAACCCTGTATGAATCAGAAGTGCCATGGATAACATTAAATTCACATTTTTGCCATTAATGGTATATTTTAGGTAACTTTATTAAATAAGTTTTGTCATTAATTTTACTAATGTAACATGTACTTGTAGAAGATTCAGCTGTATGTATAATAACAAAAATATAAAATATCTCTACTGTTAAAATTTGTGTTTTCTTCCAAATTTTTTTAGTTAATGTTTTAAGCCATGGATGAACTTTAAAGCTGTTGAGTTTCTCTGTCACTATGAAAGAATGATCACTTAATGATTGCTTTTGAGCTACTGGTAGTATGGTAGAATTGTCTTTCACCAAAAGGATAGAGAGAAGTGTTGAAATAAGGATAGGCAGCTGACCTTTTCATTCTAGAGGTCAGAGAAGAATCCTTTGAGAGGAGTTATTGGGGGCATCTGTCTCTAGAAGAGTTAAGTCTAAAGACTGTTACACAAATGAATGTCCCTCTCATTTCCTGGCTCTAATAACAGACCTTGGAAAATCATAGGGTGATAACCTTAGAGGAATCATTTCTCACTTTGTCCTCAGGCTACACATCACCATTAAGTAGACTTGAAGAGGTAACGGCTGAGAATTTTCCAAAACTGATGTCAAAGACATCAAGCCACATATTCAAAAAGCGCTATAAACCCCAGGCAGAATAATTATAGAGAAAACACTATCTCATACTTACCACATCACAATAAAACTGTTCATGGAATTTTTAAAACATAGCTGAACATTCTTTGACATAGGTGGGAGACTCTGTGTCCCTTTCCTTCAAGTCTGGATGGACTTCTGACTGCTTCAATCAGTAGAGTAGAACAGAAGTCATGCTGTGTGACTTCACAGGCTAGGTCACAAAAGGCCATGAAGATTCTACTTTGTTTGCTGGGAACATCTACTTTGGGAGCTGGAACCACCATTTGAGAAGCTTGTCTACCTTGAAGCTGCGATGCCCCAGACACATGGAGAAGCTAACTGTTGGCACTTGGCTGACAATCCCAGTTGAGGTCAGCCTCTGAGTCAACTCGGCCCAGATGCCAGATATGTGAATGAGAAAAGCTCTAGATGATTCTAGTCCCCGCCTGTTTGCATCTTCCCAGTGAAGGCTTCAGATAACCTAGAGCAGAGAAGAGATGTCCCAGTCAAGCTCTGCCAAATTGCAGATTTGTGAGCAAGAGAGATTGTTCTTGTTTTATGTGACTATGTGTTGAGGTAGGTTTCAGTTATCTATTGTTGTGTAACAAGCCACCCCAAAACACAGTGGATGACAACAATAACCATGTATCCTTCTTGAGTCTGCAAATTAGACAGGACTCAGTGGGAGTGGATCACTTCTGTTCCAAGTGGCAGTGGCTGTGGCAGTTGGGGGATCTACTTTCATGGCAGGGATGTTGGTACTGGCTGCCCACTGGGAACTCAGGCAGGGCTGTGGGTTAGGGGGTTCTTAATTTCTTTCCACCTGGGCCTTTTCACTGGCTACTTGGGCTGCGTTTCAAGAATGAGCATCCCAAGACAGCAAGGCTGAATTGCATGTCCTTCATTTGACAGTATTGGAAGCTACATACTATCACTCTTGCCATACTCTAGTGGTCGGGCAGTCAAAATGCTCACCGATGTTCAAGGAGAACATGGAGGCCACCTGTTGAATGAAGAGTGGAATGGTGATATTTTGAGAGGAAAGTCTGTTTGAGGAGAAGATATAGAATTAAAAGGTTGGGGTGAAAAGATGAGGAAATAAGGGCATAGCATCTCCTGACTGTTTTTTTCCTGAACTTTTAAGGAAAAAAAAAAAAACAACAAAAAAAACTAGGATGGGACACCTGTAATCCCAGAACTTTAGAAGGCTAAGAGGTCAGAGGATCACTTGAGGCCAGGAGTTTGAGACCAGCCTGGGCAACAAAGTTAGAACCCAGCTCTACAAAAAAAATTTTTTTAAATGAGCCAACCGTGGTAGTGTACACCGGTAGTCTCAGCCACTCAGGAGGCTGAGACAGGAAAATCACTTGAGCCCAGGAGTTGGAGGTTGCAGTGAGCTGTGATCCAGCCACTGTACTCCAGACTGGGCAACAGAGTAAGATTCTGTCTTTAAAAAAAATATTTTTTTTTTAAAAAAAGGGCCTGCCTGCCTGCCTTGCCTGCCTTCCTTCCTTCCTTCCTTCCTTCCTTCCTTCCTTCCTTCCTTCCTTCCTTCCTCCCTCCCTCCCCTCCCCTCCCCTTCCCTTCCTTCTTTTCCTCCCTTCCTCCTTCCCTCCCTCCCTCCTTCCTTTTTCTTTATTTCTCATTCTCTTCCTTTCTTCTTTATCAATTCTTTAAAAAAACAATCGCTTTATATAAACTTATTTAACTGCTAACTGATCAATAAAAAGCATTGAATAAAAGCAGAGTAAGTTAACTAAAAAGCAATTAAAAAGTTAGTTATGTTGCTAATGTAGCACATAGCACAGCCTCCCTGCTCAGTATTGCTGTTTTGCTGGTGTCCTTTAGTACTGTGGAGGTCTTCCTGGGAGATGTGAGCCCCTCTCTCTCCTGGGTCTCCTACACATGCTCATGCACAGAGCTCATCCACCTACCTTCCTCCCCCTCCTTAGTTCTCAGGGAACTCTCTTTCAGTGGGCTCTGGGCGATCAAGTTTGTGTTGCAGGGAGAGGCTGCTGGTTCTTGCATAGCTGGAGTGCACTGCAAGGGAGCTCTTCTTGCCTGGCATTTCTTACCCCTGTCTCAGCTTTGAGGACTCCACAGTGCCCATGGGCTCTGAAGAAATGCATTTCTTATATCTCTACAGCTTTCACTTAACCACTGCATTAGATTACAACACTCCTTCCAGCAAAATTAAATATTAGAATAAAAAATATCTTCAAAGGTACTTCTCATGTCTTGTCTTATAACTTGGACCACATTTTGAGTGCATTCAGTTAACTACAAGGCATTTTTTCCTCGGCTATGAGTTCAGATGTCTTATCTTTATTATAAAACAGCCCCATGCAAGCCCCAAATTGCTCATTTTTCACTTTATATCTCTCAATTTATTTAGTATATTATTTTTAAATCATTTATTCAAATTCTTATCTAAGTTTCCTTTAATTTTTGCCTCTGCACCTTGGTAGCCCCTCTGCCCTGAAGCTAACACTTTTTTTCTCCATAAAGAAATACAATAAGGCCAGGTGTGGTGGCTCATGCCTGTAATCCTAGCACTCTGGGAGGCTGAGGCGGGCGGATTGCTTGAGGTCAGGAGTTCGAAACCAGCCTGAGCAAGAGCGAGACCCCTGTCTCTACTATAAATAGCAAGAAATTAATTGGCCAACTAATGTATATAGAAAAAAATTAGCCGGGCATGGTGGCACATGCCTGTAGTCCCAGCTACTCAGGAGGCTGAGGCAGGAGGACTGCTTGAGCCCAGGAGTTTGAGGTTGCTGTGACTAGGCTGACGCCATGGCACTCACTCTAGCCTGGGCAACCAAGCGAGACTCTGTCTCAAGAAAAAAAACAAGAAGAAGTGCAATAGGCCTAAACAATTCTCTTTCTGCATGTATTCCCCCCTCATAGACTGTGTTTTCAGTGACTTCTGGTCATGGGCTTGTCACTTACTATAGGATAGAGAAACTTAGGTGTCATTGCCCATGTTTGCTTATAGGACTGGTACATTTTTAAAAGTTTATTTAAATTTTGTTTTATTGGTATAAATTTATGGAGTACAAGTGTAATTTTGTTACATTGATATATAAATAAAAATAAAATATAAAATAAAAAAATAAAAGAAATATAAGAAAAAGGAAAGAAAATAGGGTAGACAGGGAACAATAAGCTAGCCACTCCCCAGACCAGATTCTCTGGCTTCTCTTTTCTACAAGATGTTGCAGGGCAGATTTATTTAGCCCTTCTCCATAAATCGCTTCAGACTCACTAGTAATCAGTAGAGTTAAAGTAGGAAGGCTAACAGGGCAAGGTAATGGGCACCATATTGAGAAGGGGCCTAACAGCTCACTAGGAAATCCAATTCTCAGTATAATATCAAACCAGACTCCTGGATAATCTATGTTATATTGGCTATTAGGATTATAGGATAAATCCTATATAGGCAGGAGGTCATTTATTGGGGCTCAGAAAACAATATCCCAAAATATGGCACTTCAATATACTAAACTAAGCAGCCCCTAAGTCTCTCTGACCAATACCCACCCCCCACCCCCCACATACACAATTCTCTCTCTCCCAAAGCAGAGGATGAGGCTGTCCTCTGAAGTTCCCTTATCTACCTAGAAAGCAGACCACCAATGAGTAACACAATTGCCTTGGATCCCCTCCTTGAAATTTCATTAACCAGAGAAGATTAAAATTCATACCACTGAGGAAAAGACTGAAAACTAAACACCATATCTAGAGTCCAGATGAACTTTGTCCCAAACCTTTCTCTTTTCTCCAGGTCCATTCAATTCCCAAAGAGAATCATTCACTAACCATTATCTGAGCATTGGGCCCATTTGTTCCTTCTAAAAATCATTTATTACCCCTAGTTAACATAAAATTTTTAGACAAATTAAACAGTTTAATTGAGCAAAGAACAACTTGTCAACCAGGCATCCCCTGAACCAGAATAGGTTCAGAGTAACACAAATACTGTCTTCTGGTCAGAAAGGATTTATGGACAGAAAAAGGAAAGTGATTTACAGAAAATGGAAGTGAGGTACTGAAACAACTGGATTGGTTACAGCTTGGCACTTGCCTTATTTGAACATGGTTTGAAGAGTTGGCTGCCTGTGATTGGCCAAAACTCAGTGATTGGTTCAAGAGTGGGTTACACTCTGTTTACACATCCAGTTAGATTACAGTTCACTGTTTATAGTAAAACTTTTAGGCTAAACTTATAATACGTAAGGAGGCAGCTTTAGGTCAAACTGAATTTAATAGTTACTCCTTTTTGGTCAACCTGTCTCAATTTGGAGAGATTGACCAAAATTTTAGCTCTTGCTCTTGCTCATGTTACTGTCACCATCAAAAATGTACTAAATTGGTCTCAAATCTCACTGGGAAATAGAAAAACTGAGTTTTGTAAGATGAGAACAAGGACTTTAGGTTACTTTTTTTAAATAAGAGTTAGAGCAGAGTGGATGTCCTTTTGATGAAATCTCCTGTTTTCAGGCAAGGGGAAAAAAACCTGGTCTCTTTCAGGATCTGTCTGCTTACTTAAAGTTTCAGTTAGATTATATTACATTAAGCATGAGTGACTCCATTTTTGTTTGGTCTGGTCTGGTGGGGCCTAATGCATGAGATCAGTCCAAAACTATAGCCTCCCATAATTTTGCCAAATAATTCCCCCCTTGAGAGCATTATCAAAACTTAGGGCTTTAGCACTACTACTCTCAGTTACCATCATTTTGAGTTTTCAGTCTCTGCATGTCATTCATAAGCAATGGTGTCCTCATAATCACACATTTTTTGAGTTTTTGTTATTCCAGGCAAGCATCTGTAGTCCCAGCTACTCCAGAGGCTGAGGCAAGAGAACAGCTTGAGCCCAGGAGTTTGAAGTTGCTGTGAGCTGTGCTGATGCCAAGGTACTCTACTAAAGGTGACAGAACAAGACTGTTTCAAAAAAAAAATCTCCAAAGTGGTATCTTTTTGTATGCTAATGAAGGACTGGTGGCTGTGGGCTGTGGATGATTCAGATAATCTCAGGATGGGGGCTTGTTGGCAGGGGAACCAACCATGTGGTTAGAGGGTTGGAACTTTCAGTCCCATTCCCTGACCTAGGAGAGGAGAGTGAGGGGCTGAAGGTTGATTACCAATGGCTAATAACTTACCAATTATGCCTACACAATGAAACCTCCATAAAAAAACAAAAGAACAGGGTTTAGGGAGCTTCTGGATAGCTGTACACGTGGAGGTACTGAGAGGGTACAGCTCCCCCCAGTGGGTATGGACACTCCACACCTTCCTTCATGCTTCGTTCTATGCATCTCTTCCATCTGACTGTTCATCTATAACCTTTGTAATATCCTTTATAATAAATGGGTAAAATGTAAAGTAAAGTGTTTCCCTGAGATCTGTGAGCAAATTAATCAAACCTGAGAAGGGAGTCCTGGGGCTTTTGATTGATGGGTATCTGAAGTTGGGGGTAGTCTT